ACCTGTGTCAGGAAACTGTCATCATGCATTCCATAAACCTCCTGAACTGCTCATGCCTTGCTGTGTAGTCCCTCCAGCAAACATCAGATGGTGAAAGCCCTCCATAAGGCCCAGAGTCTGTGAACATGAGGCTTCCTTCCTTTTCTGATCAAGGGGTCTGTAGCAGATGCCCACAACATGTTAGTCTACCTGCTAATCCTCATGGATAAGCTCTTAGGTGGTTCATTAGCAAGCTCTAGGCCAAGCTCCATGCAGTGCAGTTGCTCTCTCATGTGAAGGACACCTCCTCCTCATTGTCCTGGTGGGTGCTACCTAAAGAGCCCTGTCCTAGTGTGTCCTCCCTAAGGAGCCCATTTCCACCCACTGCAGCCCTCCCATGAGCTGTATGAACTATCCCACCACACCTCTGTGATCCCAGTGAGATCGACATGTTGTAACTGCATGCTGATCTCTAACTCGTCCTGTTTCTTCTTCAGAGTAATACTGTTACACACTTTAAAGCGAACCTGGCTTATCCTACAAAAACAACTGTACTTTTCACAGTGCCCCAGAGAAGCCTGCTTCTCTATAGCGAAACATACTTTCCTTTAAAAACAGTGTATTTATACGGGTGTATAAATATACTTAAAAATAACATGTATAGTGATACGGTAAGCAGGTGATTTTTACTCAGGACTGATGAATGATGTTTTTTCATTGAATATTATGCATTTCATCAGCACGACGCTAAACACGCCTAAAGAAATATCATCATCATCATGGCTAGGCTTCACGAACGAATATATGGGAAGGGCTTTACCCACGTTTGCTGCAAACGCGCTGATGGCTAAAAAGAGGAATGCGGGAAAGGCAAGTCCAGTTGCAAAAGGCTAGATACATATAGCTAAGCATCAAACAGCACATCGGCCGCTCCAAGCCATTCCTACGGCAGCTCAGCCCCCACCAGGCCACCTGCAGCTCTGCCGGCGGCCCCTCTCCGTCACCGTTCTCCTCGCGGAGGCTACGGGGACCGCCGAGGCACCCACAGCTCCTTCCTTCCTTTCCTCCTTCCTTCCCTCCTTTCCTCCCTCCTTT